TATATATATATATATATATATATATATATAGGCTATTGTCTTAATGGTTTTATAGAGAGGTGAGAAAGTAGAGATATGGGTCAGTAATTATTATATTTTTTCTATTATCTTTTAAATAGCAATGTTATAAGATTTATTTTATGTTTTTGGTATAGTCCTCTCTCTTGAAATTTAATTTTTCAACATCTTCAAAATTTTGGTATTTCAGCACAGACCTTATCAGTGTTTGGTCCAGAGTCGTTTCTTATTTTTGTTTTCTTAAGGGCCATAACCATTTCTTCATGCAGTACATCAAGACTGTGATGTTAGAATCCAAATGTGGTGGTACCATAGCTTTTGATGGTGAAAAGAATTATTATAAAAATCTGTATATCTCTTTTAATTTTTCATCAGTTTGTTGGCTTCTTTCCCATTTCATCTTTAAATATCCTTGAGGTAACTTTACTTGGTTGGATTTTTTGCTAAACTTCATTTAAACTTGTTTTTACCTCCACCAATTCTTGATGTTTTATAAGGTGACACTCCTCATGGTTTCCATTTTCTATTTCCTTTAAGATTCAATAAATGAATTTACTGAAGATTAAATTTAAAGTGTTGCTTTTGGCTACTATATTCTCCACCTGGAAAAGATCAAGTATTTATTGTTTGATGGGGAATTTCTAGGTCTTGTGATCTTTTCCTTATTGCAATTAATTCATGTAACATTTAAAGTTCTTTGGGAATTGGTGTTCACCAATTTCTCATTTTTCACAACAACAACTCATTTCAACAGATTGGGTTGCAATCGTTTCAATTGTATACTGTATCTTTCCATCATTTTTTTTATTAGAATTACAAGTATATAATGAATACACAGTCTAACAAGTTCTTTTTATGGATGAGGAAACTGAGGCCCTGAGAGGTTAAATTGTCCAAAATTACACACGTAGCAAATGGCAAAGTCACAATTAAAATTCAGGTCTTTGAATTGATTTTAATCTTCATTCTAACAATTTGATAATTTGGCTGTACATAGATAGCTGATTTCTGAATGACACCCACACCAGTAAAAGAGTCATTTCTTTTCTATCAAAATATTATCACTTTAATTTTTGGTTGCTATTTGGTGCTTACAGCACCTTCTTTAGTTCTGGGAGAAAGTATTCATGATATATTAATGTGAAACTTCTTTGCAAAATTAGGTCCTTCTTGTTTCTTATTCCTGAATCATATTTACCAATGTATTTTTCTTTCTTCCCTATTCCTGCGTTTGAATTAAAAGATATCAAAATATAGGTTGATACAACTTGGAGGGCATTCTTGACTTCTCTGTAGAATTTCCCTGACTCCTCAACTTTTGAAATAGATGTTAGTTCATAAGCTGAAATTATTTTCATTGTTCTATTTGCAAATTCTTATCTTGGACATTAAAATATGAGATAACTACGTGTCCCATGAAGTGATGTTTCATATTGCTTTCACTGCAAGGAAAAACCAATCTCTCCTGTTTCTTTATTTACCTTTCCAAAGAGGACCTGTGAGCCATCCTAAAACTGCACTTTCTTTTTTGTCTTTTGGTTTTGTCTGTGACAAGAATGTCAAGATGATTGAATTCAGTCCCTCCAGTAATCAGCTCATGGATCACTTGATAAAAATCTCACATTTATGTTACCAACAATTATTTATATATATATGTGTGTATATATATATATATATATGTAGAGAAAGAGAGAGAGAGAGAGAGAGAGAGAGAGAGAGAGAGAGAACTGTGAGAGAATAGGCTGTGATTTTTTTTTTTACTAGGAGGAAGTTTGACAAAGGCCAAAAGCCTGTTAAAATTTCCCACATAGCATAGCCATTTTTATTCCTATAGAAGTGAGGAACACGATGGGTGGGGTGAGAATGAAGGAATAGTAAGGAAGGGGAGATTACTTGAGTCTCCTCAATATGATATCATAGCTCTTTTTTCATTTTGGGGTAATTTACTTAGTAGTGTACATATTTAAAGAAAAAAAACCTTTAGAACTAAAACAGGTTTGTGATCATAAATTAGATGATCATTGAATTGGGAGACTCAGGAAAGACTGTGATAAATCAAATACAATTATCCCTTTCACATTGTGACTTTTGTCATCTAAGTTTTGATAATTGTGGGTTGACATAAGAAATTAAATGGGAATTTTGGGGGGAGTTTTGCAGAAGCTGCAGACAACACAGAAAAAGTTTAGAAACTCAGAAACGCATAAAATATATTTGTAGTGTTGTATAATATCAGCATATTTTATCTTTTGATACCATAATGATTCAGACTTCTTTGGTACAAAGGGAGGACCAAAAAATTTTATTTGGATCTTTCAGATAGTGGGAGTGCTGCACTCCTAACCCCTGCAATGTGGAAGGGATAACTTGTTCAGTTCACAGAAGAGTACCAAAGATGAGCACAATCATATTAGAAGACATTCATGGCTTTGTAGCATCAAGTATGAATTTCCCCTCCATGAATGCATTCCTTGTATCTGTACCTTTCCATATGTATGCTTTGGGCACATGTGTCCCTATGTGTGGATAATCCATGTATTATACCTATATAGGTCTACTCTTAATGTTTAATTGTGGGAGTGAACACAAGGTTTATAGGGAGAGTCACTATTATTATTTCTTTTTACATTGTTATTTCCTTAAATGGCTTTGTTTTGAACTATGTTTGTCTTCTGACTGATTAATACAAGTAAGTACTTTGGTGGTTTTGCAAAGATTTAGCAAAGATTTTTACCTACAAAGTATATAGAACCTGGAGTAGCTGACTAGAGAATTGTTGGAGTGGGATGGGTAATGTAGAAGTAATATAGATAAGTCTAAAAATGCTTAGCATCCCAGCAGTTGGCTTCCATGACTGGAGAAGCAGACAAGGGCTTCATAAGACTGAGGACTATTAGCCACAGAATTCGTCACCAAGTGGCCAGCTGACTGGTGATGAGCCTTTCTGTATTTAGCAGTTATAATCTATTGCCAGGACCATATTAGAAGTCTTCCCGGGAAGGCAGAACATGCCAGCACTTGTGGTCTACTAGCACAACTAGCAAGAACCCACTAATACTTCCACACCTTTATGAGTCACCAGAGAGGAACTTTGTGTAGAATGAAATTAATCTCAACTGTATCAGACTAGCTCTCCTCTCATCTATGACTCTATTCATTCAATAAATATTTAATAAGCACCTATCACAAGAAGAACAATGCATTAAGTCACACATGCCTGGAATCTCTCCCTATGGATTCTTCCTCTTTCTCTTCCCTTGCCACATTGCCACACTGGAGAATCCTCTACTCTGAGAACCTTCCCACCTGATTTATTACTTCTTTCCCAGAACCACATTTTAAGAAGGACCTCAGCCTTCTAAATTGTAAGTTCCTTGAGGACAAGAACTATTTTTTGTCTCTTTTTGTGTTCCCAGCACTTAGCACAGTGCCTGAAACATAACAGGTGCTAGGTTGTTGTTCAGTCATTTCAGTCATGTCCATTTGGAGTTTTAGTGGCAAAGATATTGGGGCAGTTTGTCATTTTCTTCTCCAGCCCCTTTTACAGATTGGGAACTGAGGCCAACAGGGTTAAGTGACTTGCCCAGGGTCACACAGGTAGTAAATGTCTGAGGTCAGATTTGAACTCATGTAGAGGAGTCTCTATCCATAGTACCATCTAACTGCCCTAATAAATATATAATAGGTGTTTAATAAATGTTTATTGGTTGCTTGATCAATTGATCTCACTCGAAGACTCTCCTGACTCCTCCTTTTCTTCTCCTGCCACATTCTCCCTCTCAACTCGTCTTCCTCCTTTCTGGCTCTCTTTTTGGAGAATATGTTCCCCAATAAGAAAGTGAGGTCCTATCTCACTTGCTTGTATCCCCGGTGATTAGCACAGTGCCTGGGAAATAGTAAATACTTAATAAATGCTTTGTCTATTTCTCTAAGTGCTGTGTACTTATTCCAACCATACTCTGAGACCAGTTTAGGAACTGTGCAAATAGCTCCAGTCTCAGAAAGCTTTATTTATTTGTTTGTTTACTGATGGTGTAGTCAAAAGAACTCTGGGCAGTCAGAAGACCTGAGTTTTAGTTCAGGCCTTCCATTTACTGGCTATGTGACTTTAGGCAAGTCAGTCACTTAACTTTGTGAGCCTGATTTGTAAAATTGGAATCGCACAATCTCAGAGTTCTAAGTTTCCTCAGAGACCAGCACATGATGGAGCAAGGATCCCCTCTGTAACCATCGGTTATCCATCCTGCATTTGCCTGAAGAGTTCTGGTGAATAAGAATCCATCAACTTCTCAGGCGGCCCATTCAACTCCAATTATAACATAGATTCTTTTTTTCTTCTTGCATCAAGCTTAAGTGTTTTTCTTTGAAACTTCTATACTCTTATTTCTGTCCTCTGGGGAAAAGAAATTTTAAGTCTAATCTTTTTGGCCATATTATACCTCTTTAAATATTTGAATGCTTTTTATATTTTTTTTTTCCTCCTGGCTAAACACCCCCAGCTCCACAATTTAATGTGGTCTAGTTCCTATCCCCTGTACATATTCATTTGTGTATTCTGTCGCTGAATAGAAAGTAAACTTCTTGAAAGAAAAGACTGTTTCATTTTTGCTTTTGTTTCTCCAGCAATTGACACACAATTTGGAACATAGCAGGCACTTATTAGATGTTTGTTGATTGGCTGATGAGCTCCCTTCCAGGAAACCCTAGTCTGCTTACTTCGAAGTGTTGTTCAGAGGATCCTATGAAATGATAAAAAAGTACTTTGTAAACTAGATAGTGCCATATAAGTGAAATGAATTGTTATAGGTACTGATGCCCTGTATCTGTTAGACAAACTCTGCCTAGCATCTGTCTGTCCTACACATTCTTTTTTTTTTTTAAACACATTCTTGCCTGAATCCCAGACCCAGTGGTATTTAACTGGCTCTCTTAAAAAAAAAAAAGGTACACAGGATACATTTTTAAGTTTAATTTGCATTATTAACATTTTCTCCACTACTTTCTTAAATTTACAAAATCAACAAAATAATAAACCAAGCCCTGATGTGTACAGCATTTCCCAGTTTCCAAGATTTAAATAGCCACACTGAAAATTTAACAATCATTTCTCCCAAACCATTGAGAGTTGGCTCCAGCATACCCTTCCTTCCTTCCTCTGTTCTTCATTTCTGACTCCTGGTCTCCCCACTCATGAAATCATCAAATCTCAGAAGTGGAAGTGTCTTTTGTGGTTACACAGAGCTACTTTCACTGTACAAATGAAGAGGTCCTGAGATGTGTAGTGAATTGCTTAAAGTAATTAACTTTAAAAATTAGCTTAGTGGCCAACTTGAGATTACAACCTCCATCTTTCTACGCATAGTCCAGTGTCCTTTCCACTCCACCATGCCGTCTCCCTATTATTCACACCTGCCCTCCAGGCTGCTTATCTTTTTAGTCATTCGCTTGGGTATTTAAGGCCATCCCAGTTTTTATACTGCGTTGTGGTCACACCCATCTGCTTTCCCCATCCACACCCCCTCCTTCCCAACACCTTAGAGGTGTCTGGGGAGCAATGAGCAGTAACTCTGCCAAGAAACCTTCAGCTAGGGTGATAATCATTTCAAATGCAACACTTTTATTTGATTTTGTCCACAGACGAAAAAGAAAAGTCATACAATATATCCACTAGTCATTTTAAATGACAATATATGCCCATAAAGCTTTTGTAATCTCTTTTTCTGCTATTGAATTCACTCGCCTATCGGAGTGGAAAAAAACCAAGAACCCTTGGATGACGAGCAACATGGGGCTTGGGGGATGTACTCCCTTTCCAGTAAAGGAAGCCAAAGGTCGTGCAGTGCTGTCCCAAGACTGTTGCTGTGTGTCTACAGGTCTGGCACTGACTTGTCGGGAAAACTTCCAGTGTATTCCCTGTAGTCCCTGGGAAGGCAGGAGGCAGCTCCTCTAACTTTACCATTCCTTGAGCCAGTAGCGCCTCCCAGTGGTTTCTCTCATAGTGAATAATTTTCTTCTTTTTTTCTTAATGAGAAAATTCTTGGAAAAATCTTGCACCCTTTCTCTCCTAATCCCTGATGGTTTTTCACAGGCATATGGTAGCGAACGCAGTTCCAGAATCGGGAATTTGAAGGAGTTGACTTTGAACTTCTCCAAGTGATGGTGGGAAGTACATTAAGGGCTTTCTTCACTCGGTGAGGTAAAGAATCTGGCTCTTTGAAAGGAGAGAATTTAATTAAAATGAGTTTCAATGTTTGGTCTTCCAAGGCAAGATTGACTGCGGCTTGCAGTTCAAAGACAGTGGGGCTGCTCACATAGCTGGGGCTCAGGACACAAATGACTCTTCTACTCTGCTTGATGATTTTCACAATATCTTCTGTGTAAACTGGAGGGAAAGAAACAAGTATTTCATTATGTGTGCTCTGTGACACCCCTCACCACTGCAAGCATCAGGGGTCTGGGTGTTCTTCATGAAATCCAGAGGGTGCTAAAAGCACAGATGCCTAGTAAAGAAGGAAACTCTACCTATATCCACTTACCTCCACCTGGGATCACATCCCTTTCAAACAAACACAAGGTGTATCCATATTTTTTTTCCAACACTTTAGGGAGTAAATCCAATGCAAAGCTTTCCTCATTCAGAGACGAAGGGTCCAGGCTATCAAAAGAGTCTTGTTTAGCATAGGACACAAAGGCATCAAATTCTTTTCCATCTGATAGGGAGAAAAGGGGGGGGAATTTAATCCATTTTCTATTTTAACATCATGTATAATTGACATATTGTTTCAGTTATGTCTGATTCTTTGTGATTCCATTTGGGTTTTTCTTAGTCAAGATATTGGAGTGGTTTCCCATTTCCTTCTCCAGCTCATTTTACAGACGAGAAAACTGAGGCAAACAGGGTTAAGTGACTTGCCCAGGGTCACATATCTAGTCTGAGGCCAGATTGGAACTCACAAAGATGAGTCTTCCTGACTCCAGGCCCAGTACTCTATCAACTGAGCCACCCAGCTGTCTATTGTATAAAATAGATACATCCATATATTTACACAGATTACATGAAAAAGTGTACATTTATATACTGATTTGGTTTATCAAATAATAATACACATGAAATACTTTGCAAATCTTAAAGTGCTATATCAGTCATTAATTGATAATGAATTACATTTATTATTAATAATTTATTAATAATTGTTACTAATTAATTGGTGGGGCAGCTAGGTCCCACAGTAGATAGAGTGCTGGGCCTGGAGTTCAAAACTGGCCTTATACATTTACTAGCTGTGTGACCCTGGGCAAGTCACTTAACCCTGATTGCCTCCCTTTCCTCATTGGTAAAATAATCTAGAGAAGGAAATGTATCCAATATCTTTGCCAAGAAAACCCCAAATGGGATCGCAAAGAATTGGACACAACTGAAAAATGACTGAACAACAAATTAGTTAATAATATTTATAAGGCTGACATGCTCGTTTAATGACCAATATTACTAGCCTGGAGTTAGGAAGATCTGTGTTCAAGTCTTGCCTTCAATATACACTCTGTGTAACCCTGGGCCAGTCATTTAATCCTTTAATGCTCCTTGTTGGATTATAAATGGTGGAATAATTGTTGGTTTGCTTTCGTAAAAGATCTCACCTGAAATCCCACATCTAGTCCCTCTCCCAGAAAGAAATCATGAGACATACAAATCACCATGCCAAGGGCATAGTAGAGTAGGTACTTTTTAATTGTAGGTGAATGCTTGGATTTGAGTTGGATAATCAAATGATGTTTCAGGATCCTATCGTAACACAAACCAATCATTCTAATTTGTTGGAAAATGGTAACTGAATTCATCAATATTTATTAGAAGGAAAAGACAAATATGTGAGAAGAGTGATGATGTTAAAAATGGATGATTTGCTTTCTGTTCAGATGTAATAGTGGATTTTATTTTAGTGGGCTTAAAGGTTTCCATAGCTTTTTATCTCAGACCAGCTCTGAGATAAATTAGCTTTGATTTTCCCATTTTAGGGGTAAGGAAATTCTAAGAGGTAATGTGACTAGCTGATAAGTGTTCACACTAGAGTTTGACCCAAATATTTCCATTATCTAATTATCTAGTCCATTAGATTTATAAATACATTCATTATCTAATGATACAGATAGCAGTCCTCTGTTGCCTCCATCAGCGCCATGACTGATAGCAACTAATTATCTCACCCAAACACTCTTTTTTTCAATTAAAAGAAAATAAAACTGGGTTTCCCATTCTTACCCAGGTTGGAAATGCAGTGTCCACTTACAAGTCTGATTCTACTGTTGATCATCATTGGAACTTTTTGACCTACTCCATTTCTGACCTGGGTAGGTTCCCTTCTTCCTCATGTAAGCTGCCAAGGACTCACCATATTGATTCAGAATTTAGTGTGATCATCTTAGCCACCTATAGCTCAGAATTGCTAAGCTCAAGGGATCTACCAACCTCAGCTTCCACTACCTGATTCTTCTAACACTTTCCCTAATTTTGAAGGTTGTTGTTTGTTGTTGTTTAGTCATTTTGCAATTATAGCCAACTCTTTGTGACCTTGGCAAAGGTCCTGGAGTGGTTTGCCATTTCTTTCTCCAGCTCATTTTACAGATGAGGAACTAGGGCAAACAGGGTTAAATGACTTGCCCAGGGTCACGTAGCTAGTAAGTGCCTAAGGCCGGATCTGATCAGGTCTTTCTGACTCTAGGCCCCAGCATTCTATCCACAATGCCACCTCGTTTGACGAATTTTGTGGGTCAGTATTGGTTTAAGGTTCTAAACAGCTAATTACAGGCCTTACCCCATTGCAGGGAATTCCATTATAACACCAAAAAATACAATACAATAAAATAAAATACTACCACCACCATCAACTCTTTAAAATGAAGTTTTCTATGAATGCCAGTCAATGGTCCACTTATTTAAAAGTGGTTTCACACAAGAAATTCCAGAAATCAAAACAACACAACTTGGATTCCTCCTTAAAGTTCATTGTAATGACATTTTGCCTAGGTAGCAATAATAGTAATTACCTATAGCAATAGCAATGATAGTAATTACCTATAATTATGTTGTTTTTATTATACCTACACTTACTCTTCCATAAACTTCCTTATTTTTAATAGTAATTTCCCTCTTCAAAGCTCTATAGAAAAAGTGCTAGCAAAACTAACACACAATTAAAGTAGCGTTGTCTGGATTTTAACGTTGGCCTTGTCTTTAGCCTGCTATGTGGCCTTGGGGGACAAGTCACTTAACTTCTTGGAATCTCATTTTATATGTTTGTAAAATGAAGATAATACAGTTCTACCCACGTCATAAGAATATTGTGATATGTAAATGAGAGAATAGATGTGAAAGTGCTTTGAAATGTATAAAACAATAACATTGGATTTGGCATCAGAGAAGAAAGATCTATTTCTTGCTCTAGCCTGCATGAGCTTTATGACATTGCTAAGTCACCTAGCAACAGTGATGATGAAAATGACGATGAAATTGATGATGGTGATGAGTATGAGTAAATATGAAATGAAAGCCTTGGTTTCTCATCTGTAAAATGGGAATCATATTTGTATTGGCAACCTTCCAGTGTTAACATGAGGAAAATATTAAATTACAACACATTATATAAAGATGAAACTATAATTATATGAAGCAGGTATAAATGATTGCTCTTTGTTACAGGATTCTGAATGATTCACAAGGTATATTTATTTCCTTGACCAAATTTTGGACATGCGTTAGATGGTGTTCTGTATTCGTTTACGAGAGGTAGAAAGAATACTGGCTCTGGAGTCAGAGGAACAGGGTTTGAGTTCTGCATCTGATGTATGCTACCTATGTGGCTTTGTCATTTTAAGTCATTTAGCTTCCTCAGGTCCCAATTTTCTTATCTGAAAGATGAGGGACTTGGACCAGATGACTTCTAAGGTCTCTTCCAGCTCTAGGTCTATTATTCAATAATGATGACTGTGATAATTATAATTATAATGATGGTTATCATCATAATTTAATGTAGAATCTTTCCATTTCATTCAACTAGTCAACACGCATTTACTAAGTAATTATATATATATATCATATATATATATATATATATATGTAGACTGAGACACCCACACATATATATCTAACTATGCTAAGCACTGGGGATAAAAAGAAAGATTAAAAAACAGTCTTTACCCTCAATTGGGGGAAGACAATATGCCAACAATTAAATATGTATGAGATATGTACAAAGGAAATTGGAAAAAAAAATCTCAGGGGGAGACACTAACAGTGGTAGGGTAGGAAAAGGGGTTGGGAAAAACTTCTTGCAGAAAGTGGGATTTGGGCTAAGACTTACAAGAAACCAAGAGATAGGAGATGAGGAGAGAGAACATTCTAGGCATGGGAGACAGCCAATGAAAAGGCCCAGAGTTAAGAGAGGGAGCGGTATATTCAAGGAACAGCGAGAAGGACTATGTTGCTGGAACATAGAATACATGGAGGGGAGTAAAGTGTAAGAAAACTGGAAAAGCATGAAGGACCCTGGTTGGGAAGGGCTTTAAATGACAAAGAATTTTATATTTGATCCTGAATATAATAGGTAGCCACTGGGGTTCATTGAATAGGGGGCACCGCATAGTCAAATCTTTGCTTTAGAAAGATCACATTTGAAACTGGGTAGAGAAGAGACTGAAGGCAGGGGAAAAAAAAAAAAAACTAGAGAGTTATTTCAATAGTCCAGTAGTGAGGTGAAGGTTTTGTACCAGGGTTATGTCAGAGGAGGGAAGGAGATGTGCTTTGTAGCACCTAGCAACAAATTGAATAGATGGGGTAAATGTGGAGTGAGGAATAGAGGATAATACTGAGGTCAATAGCCTGGGACAATTAGGAGGATGATTATGCCCTTGAGAGTAAAGGGAAAGTTGGGAAATGGGGAGACTTTGAAGAAAAATTTAATGAACTCTGTTTTGAACTAGTTGAATTGAATGTCTATGGACATTTAATTTGAGAAGTCTAATAGGTAAGTTAGATGTGAGACTGGAGGTCAGGAGATGGTTAGAGCTGGATAAATAGATCTTAGAATTACCTGCATAGAAGTAATTGAATACAAGAAAGCTGACAAGATCACCAAGCAAGGAAAAAGAGAAAAGGGCAATGGTAGATCTTTAGGATCACAAGGTTAATGGGTTTCATCTGGATGAAAATCCAGCAAAGGAGGGTGGAGAAGACTCATCAGATAGGTAGGAAATAGGACCAGGAGAGAGCAGTATCACAAAACCCTAGAGAAGAGAGAAAATCCAGGAGAAGGATCCTTTTTAAACCACCAAATCCATTTATATTTTATTGGGGCTCTTAGCATACTTCCTGGTTTCTACTTATTCACAGGTATTATTATAGCTCAGCACTGTATGGCATAACCTGAAAACAATGGAATCCTAGCATCACCAAGCTTTGCCTAGGTTTCAGTTGACCCAGTATGATAGCAATTTAAAAGCCTGCCACTAAAGCCCTATTCTAATGCTCCATTTTAAAAACAAATCCCCTATTCTCTCATCTATTTTAATCTCCAAAGGGGAGGCCTTTTCCCCTTGCCAAAGCTCACCCTTCAACTTGACCCTTTGATCTTATCGCCTCTAATCCCCTCTTGTAGTTTGCTCTTCCAATCATCACCTGGATCTTTCAATTTCAGTCTCTTTCTACCCCATGGTT